TGGCAGCTTAATTTCCTTTTCTTATTTTCAAAAACGTCTGGATATACAACGTATTCTGTTGTTTGAAACAATAACCGAACTAATTTAAAAATATACCAAAAAATAAAGGTCCCAAATGGGGGCCTTGAGGAACCCCCCTTGTAACAAAATATATTTTAGATTTACAAATATACTGTCATCGAGATAGTTCATTGAAATGACAATAAACTCTCCATGTTCGCCGAAATTTCCAAGAGCAGTTTTTACAACTTGGTTATTCACGCAATACTACACGGATTATTGCGGCGAAAATAGGAGGTTTTCAACAAAAGTTGCTATTGGGATATGTAGAGATTCACTATGGTTATTTTTTTAAAATGACTTTCATATTATACAGGCTATCCTAAAAATACAAAGGAATCAACGTTGCATTTTTAAATGGTGTTATTAATAACAACATTCCGTGCCGTCATCCTTTAGACAAAGACTGATATTTTCGTATGCCTTAAGAATGAACAATCTGGATATATTTTTTTATTAATCGTTGAATACTAGCTGGAAATATTTTTTCAGTTCTGTCTTGTTCAAGGTGCATGGCTGGTATAAGATACAAAAATACGACAAAAACTTAATACTTTAAATTTTTTATTTTAAAATTTCAACTTTTTTTTCCCCCGAAAAATTTCTCAGAAAAATATTGATTAATTATAATTATAATTAACTTTGTAATGTAAATTTTTTTGAATCGTCTTCCTTAACAGGAATTTTCCCACACTCCTACGGCAACTGGTAACGAGCTACTTCACTAGTGAAATGTTCACCCAGCGGAGCTTCATTTCTTCATATAAAAACGAAGTTATTTCACTCGTTAGTAAATGTTGTTACAAAGAGCAGTCGTAAAATTAAATAAAATTTTTAAACAAGGCAAGGGTCTCCCCGAGTAGTTAATTGATGTTATGTTGAAAGTCCGAAATCATCGGGTTTATTAAATTAGTTGATATATAGACGACTCGGGTCATCATCCAGGCTAATCACTGCGAAAACATCAGCACATTACCAACTTGCATAATTGCCAAATCTATAATAAATGCCGTGTTCCCAAAATAAACATTTAATTTTTACAAGTTAATAAACTAGATATAAATACATTGCATCTGTGCCGGGATTAATCCGACGCGGACAGTGGATTTCGAAAATAAATATCAGTGTTGAGATGGTTTTATAATCACATTGTTTTTTAATTCGACGTTGCTTTAATAACGGATCTAATACAAAACCTTACGATGTTTTATAGATTTTCTAAATAATATTCATTAAACCTAATAGGTATCAAGTATCAAGGTAGGAAGTATATTATAGCATATGGAAGTGAAAATTTAAGCACATCGAAATTACATACCCCCAACAAAATTTAATCCGACTCTTTTACGATACCAAAACAATATCAATTATTCCCCGAACTTTCCCTTGTTGAATATGTATGGTCAAGATGACTTCCATCGCCCAACTTAACATAACATAATTATTAGCATGATTTTTTCACAAAAAAATTAACGATTTATTTAGCAATGCAATTTACAGTAAAGTAAAACAATGGATCCCGAGTTTGTATTGTTCCAATTTTCCAATTGTTCCAGTTGCCATCCACATCTGTCTTCCCTATAATACTCTAATCTAGATATAATGCCTGGACATTCTGCCGTTTGTTCTTAAAATTAATGTTGTTAATTAAATGTTACTTTCCACCAGGACGGAATCAAGGGGGCCTACGCTACGTTTTTTTAGTTATGAAGTTGTTATTTAAACATGAAATGAATTTGCAGTTTTCCTACATATTTTAAAGATGGGTAAGAGAAAAAATAAATAAATTGGGCACATGAATTTATCCAAACGTTGTTCACAACCTGACATATGGCAACTGTTAAAAAAAAAACAGTGGAGTACTATTTTATTTAAAAAATATGCTACCAAGAGTCGGACTCTGCCACTGAGAAAATAAACTTTAAGGAAATACCTCGGGAAAGGCTTTAGGTGAAAGTCAAGTTTTTGTTCTGACTCGCTTTTATAATATCAAATATCAAAAACAGATCAAATTATTATCTAAAGAGGGCGTAACAACATTTTTGTATTTTTTATAACCAATTTTGCAGTTGACATTTTTTTAAGAAATCGCCGACAAGGCTTTAGTTAAAGCCAAGCCGATGTTATCAGATTAAAATGGCCTTAATCAGATTAACAAGTGTTTCGAGGAGATCCGAGCTGATAGTCAGTTAACGCCAAAGCTCTGAGTTGCCTATCCCTTCATTTTCGGTACTTAATCTTTATTAAATTTAACCCACGCAATCTGATAGTCACTCATCTGGAAACTCGGTAATGGAGAAACTGAAACAAAATTGAAAATAATTTGTTTTCTCCCAACCTCGTCGATGTTTTTTGTTTTTAGTGTCGCTAAAAATATAAACTTATTCCGTTGAAAATTGTAATTTTGTAATGTTTGAGATTGTAAGTTTTGTAATGTTTCTTTTTTTTTTGTTTTAAACGACGAAATCATCTATTGTGACAAACAGAAGGGAAAGCATATAAAGGTCCGTTTTTAGTTACCCATCATTTTTGAGGTTTGATAAAAAAAATGCGAACGCATCATACATGTAAGCCACAAATTTATAGTATACAGGGTGTTTCAAAAAAAATGCGAAAAATTTTAAGTGGTATTTAACCAAAAAGCCAGCCATTAATATAAATGATTTTAGGTGATTGAATTAGACTACCCCTAACATTTCTTTTAACCAAACTTAAGAAAAAACTTGCAATGCAAAGATATAAAAAAGATATTTTAGGTTTTCTTTAGAAATCTATTAGATAAAAAATGTAGTGAGCAGGTGTCACTTCTTCGGACGCTTCTTATTATTGCTTTATTTGGCATTGCTCAGTTAGTTTGAAAAACGATTTAATTTAATCATACATTTATTACCTAATTATTTAATTGTTGAATAATAAAAACTTTAATTTAATAATGATGAATGACACTAGCAAAAAAATGATTTTAAAATGGCATTCATAGTTTCATCATCATAGTTTATCCATGAATTTTTTTTTAAATGTGTAATGTTTATTAATCACTCGCTCCGCTGCGCACCGCTCGCCAATTCAACTCGTGAGTGAAATGCCGTTTAACGCATTTGTCGCATCTACTACTACTCTATAATACTGCCTTGTAAGTTAAAAGATGAATGGGAGTTTCTTCCTTTTCACGCAGCTTATATGTGCTGTGGTTTCAAAGATTTGCTTATGGCCAAAAATCACGGGTGAAACAACATCCACTATCATCCCATTGCTTTATCTTTTATATTATGCAGAACACGACTTATATAATGGATTACGCCAACATGAATGAGAGCTGGTCTATTTACCGCAGCCACCGCCTTCCGCCTTTAAGCACAAACCCACAATGTGCTATTGATCCAACGTACATGATAGACTTCTTGCCAATTGCACGCCGTAGTCCCACAGGAATCAGTGTACCTGATTAGGCTATATGCATAGTTTTCTTAGTATAAGCAACAAAGTTCGGTTCATACGATTATCGCATAGTTGTGCATGTGTGTGGTTTGTTTATAATTTGTATGTGACAAATGATGCCTTTTTAGGCGAAACATTTCACCCGTTTTTTAAATGAAATTTATGTTTTTACTAACACTGCAGATTGCGTGTGTTTTTTGTATTACCTATAGGTACAAAGTTCAGGAACCGACACTACATTCAGTGCGGAAAAATATTTTTTCTACTCCCATCTGTAATATTAATTAATTAATGGGTAATGTAATTACCCACCGATCTAGCGTGCGGAAAGCATCGCTTTACCACGTCAGTTTCCTTTCCTACGAATCCGAGCCACTTCGGATATTTCCGGGATTTTACCGCACGGATTTGGGAGCAATCGGAAGTTTTCGGGGATATTTCCCACGCTTTGAATTTTGACGTTTATCAATTCTGACGGTCATGTCAGTGAATGCATTCGTGTAGTTTTGCGAAAATGTACCCAAAACTAACGGTCATAGAAAAAGTATAGCATGCAACATGTTCGGTAAACTTTTCAACTCACTCGTTTATTAAATACTCGCTCCGCTCGTGTCAAATAAACTAGTGAGTCAAATGCCGTTTACCGCACTTGTTGCATAATATACTATTTCCTGCTCCCGTCTGTAAAATACCTAATTACACACCGATCTAGCGTGCGGAACTTGTCATTTTACCACGTCAGTTTCGTTTCCCACGGATCCGAGCCACTGGACGCATTTGGACGAAATCGAATGTTTTCCATGCTTTGAATTTCGACATTTGTCAATTCTGACGGTCATGTCAGTGAATGTATTCGTGTTGTTTTGCGAAAATGTACCCAAAAATTAACGGTCGTAGAAAAAGTATAGTATGCAACACGTTCGGTAAACCTTTTAAGTCACTCGTTTATTAGACACCCGCTTCGCTGCGCTCCGCTTGTGTCAAATGAACTCGTGAGTCAAATGCCGTTTACAGCACTTGTTTTATAATATACTATTGATATACATGTTTCAAATTTTAACTAAGTTAAAAAAATGTGTCGATACTCACGTTCCACGAAAATTTTATATGATACTGTGAGTCCAAGTGAATTGAAGATAATTAAAATTAAAATTGAAAACATAATAATCCGTCGTATCGATCGCTTATTTTTCGGCTTATTCTATTCTTTAATTTTTTAATTTAATTTATTAATAAATTAATAAATCGGGCACCGCGGAAACTGTTTTGCCATGAACAAGTTTAAAATAAATTATAATTTAGAGAAAAATGTGCAAAATAACAATAATCTGTATACTTTGTTTAAACAGTTAACTGTCAACTTTGCATTATTGCAAAGCTTTTTTAATAACACACACATACATAAATTATTAAAATTGATCAATCGACCTTGTATTTTCATTATTCTGAGAAAAGAAAACTTAACGTAGTCGATAAGCGACAAAAGGAAAACATGTACTTACACTCGGCTAAGTCTTGCAACTGTTGGAACTCCTGCGGTGAAAGTTTTTCCCACTGCAGCGTCATTCTCGCAGGGGATGTCTCACCCACCGGAGAGGAGCCAATAATTTACGTGTGTGGCATCTGGAATAACAGATATATTCATTTTTTCTCACATAGAAACCAAAAAATAATAATTTTTGATTTTGATTTTTATATTTTCGATGTAATAATAATAGTAATATATTTACCAAAACATGGTGAGGTTAAAACTATTAAGAAAGTAAACCACGGACTCTTGATCGAAACGGTGTCGCAAGCGCAGTCGAATAGGTTATTACGAATCGCATGACTAGGAGATATGACTGTTGTGTCACCCCACAAAATAATGAATACACCTAGAGGCGTTATATATCATACAGACTTGGTAAATAGTACAATTCAAGAAATAATTGAAAACTTAAAAACTTATGGTGTCATTGAAGTAAGTCGAACCCAAACAAAAATTAATGGAGGGCTTGAGGATACAGCAAACCATATATTCACATTCAACAAGCCTAATCTACCAGATAAAGCAAATTCTGTATATAAACTGCAATGGTAACCATTCGGAATGATCAAGTAACTGTCCCATATTCAAACAAGAGATTACCATAAAAGAAAAAGTGCAAAGAAAACTTATCATATCTTGAGGCAAAAAAAAGAGTCGTTGTACAGGCACCCAACCCAAATACCTCCTATGCGATAGCAACTACTACTTCCCAAATTGATATGCCAGAATTAATCAAACAACTAGTTCCTAGATTAGTTACTGCTCTTAAAGATGTCCTTATATGTAGTTGAATCAAACACCTATGCAGATGCAACCACTCTCAAGAAGCGTCCCGAACTCGAACACCAGCTATGCATCTGAAAAGCGTAAGAGAGGGGATATAAACGTACCCTCTACATCGGAGGATGACCTCGAGGAATCTGCTGACTCCAGCAAACTCGACTCACCAGAGAAAAGGAAAAAAGGCTGGCCGGAAAGAAAGTCTCAAAACCCACCATCACCAATGGGTGATAAATTTTGACTTATCTGTGATATTTAGTCAGGATAATATGTAAATATTAGTCTTTCCTAATTACTATTCAGGTACTTAATTTTGTATATACTTTCTATATATTCTACAGTCTTTCCATCATCTTAATAAGCTCGCTCTTCCCTTGTAATTGAAACCCTATACTTAAAGATGTTCGATCAACAGAATAAAATCGTTCAATGGAAGTGTAACGGATATGTACAAAGTTTCTTCTTTCATAAACATCAGCCATGTGTGTCAGTCTCCAGGAAACACATTTTAGACCCGAACAACCTCTCAAACGATACTCAATAATAAGAAAAGACATCGATTCTAATATTAGAGCAAAGGGGGGAGTAGCACTCTTAATTCGAGACGATGTGGAGTGGTCGCGAATGCCGCTTAACTCACCGCTAGAACTAACGGCTGCAAGGATTAAAATTCCTATCCCAATATCTATCTGCAGTATATACCAGATGGGAACTGCCAGATTCAAGACATCGAAAATGTGGTGCAATAATTGCCAACACCGTTTATGGTATTGGGTGACTTCAATTCTCACAATCAACTTTGGGGATCGGACGATTCTGATTCTCGCGGAAGAGCTCTGGAAAACTTCCTTGAGAGAGATGATGTAGTCTTACTTAATACGGGATCGGCAACATTTTTTCATGCAAGGTCCCGCGATTTATCTGCAATAGATTTATCCATGGTATCATCAACAATTTCACATCACTGCTCATGGAGGGTGGCGGACGACCTGTATCAGAGTGACCACTTCCCAGTCATCATTTCCTCTGATAGGGTTATGCCCCAGCGGTCCCTGCCGCGTAGGTAAAGGCAATACCGATGAGTGATGGACAATATAGAAAGAGAGCAGTACCGTGGTGGAGTCCTCAACTGGCAGAAATCGTTAAAATAAAAAAGAGGGCACTCGGTGTTTTTCGACGACACAAATCGCAAACAAATCTCATAGCCTTCAAAAAGGTTAGAGCAGAGGTACGCCTATCAATCCTGTACTCAAAAAGATCATCATGGCAACAGTATGTTTCGTTAATATGCTCCCAAACCCCTGTCTCCGATGACTAGAAAAAGATAAAATCAATAGCCTGAAAAATTCTCGACTAGGTGTGGCACATAGAAAGAAGTTGCCTTCTTGCAAATCATCACGCATTATTTCGAAAGCACAGATCGACCGTAGACCAGCTCGTTTTGTTGGAAAGCATTATTCAAGATTCATTTAAAAGTAGAGAACATACTACTACCTACCCCAGTTCATTTCATCCTTTTTGAAGGAAAGGAAATTCCGTGTGCGTGTTGGAGATTCACTCTCTTCTATCAGAGAATCTACTAGATTTCTCCCTGTAATATTCGACTCAAAACTTACTTGGCGCGAGCACATCAACAATCCACTAGTAAGATGCAAATATAACCTTAACAATATGAAAGTTCTGGCTGGAACGAAATGGGGCACGGACCCAGACGTACTGATCGGAATTTACCGCTCATTGGTCCTCTCGAAAATTGACCACTCCTCATCAAGGAAAAGCTTGTTGGAAAAATTAGATTCTGTGCACCACGCCGGTCTTAGATATTGTATAGGTGCGAATACTTCGCCAAAAAGTGATACTAAACTATGTCGTGGGTATAAGAGTCCAGCCAAATCACCCAAATTATCCGATCTTATTTGAGAACCTTGACAGATATAGCGGTCGATCCACTATCACAAGACTAGCTGGGATCCGCGCGCATGAATCTTTGCGAAAACTGGACGTCGACTTGCCCGAGATCCTGCCTGTGGCACCTCTCGAAGTCGATGGATAGTCCCAACTGTAAACTTTGATCTTGATCTTACTCTCTACTGTAAAGAAAGCACACTTCATTCCACCAGAAGTTCAGAGAAATCATACACGAAAACTTAACTAGGGCAGTGATCTACACAGATGGTTCGAAGATGTTGAGTGGTGTGGAGGCTACTCTAGCGGTGGGGGGCTCCACCTACTCGTGTACACTTCCCCACTATGCCTCTATATACACTGCAGAACTCTACGCATTATGGCAAGCTCTCCATTATTGCGATATGACCACTTCATCTCAAAAGTGGCTCATGGCTTGTGACTCTCTCAGTCTGCTACAAGGAATAGCCAGTTCCTATTCGGAGGACCCATTAATACATATGATTCTAGCATTAACAAAATCTTTAATTGAGAAAAAAATATCTATCTCATTCATCTGGATTCCAAGTCACGTAGGAATCGAAGGAAACGAATTGGCTGACCACTAGTGCAGCGGAAAAAGATATAATCGATGGAAATATCATCAAACACACTGATATAAAAGCCTACCTCAAGGACAAAATCCTTATTTTCTGACAGGAAGAGTGGAACAGTGTTAATAATAGCTTGGAACAAATAAAGGATTCCGTTTAGCGCTGGCAACCACCATTGGGCCTAACTAGGGCCGAACGAGCAAAAATTCATCGGCTAAGAATTGGTCATACAAGCCCACCTACTTCTGCGAGAGTCTCACCGTTTCTGCACTTGTATCGGATATCATGATTGAGGTCAGCCGTCGGTTTGACGAATGATCTAAAGGAAAATCTTACAAACGGGCAGAAATTTAGAAGTGTCTTAAGATTCCTTACCGCAATAAACTACTTCAATACAATCTAATTCAGGCACCTAGATTTCGCTATACACTGCAAGCAACCTATAATGTACATTAATCCAAATGCTCTCAATCAACACCAACTTTGTGATCACGGTAACAATGTCCTCTGTTTCGATGTATCATCCCGTCCTCTTATAGAGGCTCGTGTGTTTTTTTGTTGGAATATTTCAATCCTAAAACAGAGTTTAATACACGTGCATTGGAACGATCTTGTAATAATATATAATATATAATGATAATAATAATAATATATTTACCAAAACATTAAATAATATACAGTTAATCTACTTTTTCATAATGTAGCAAATTTAATACAAACAAACCCACTAAAGAAATCTGAATTATATTTTTGATGAACTTGTAATACAGTTAATTGTCTATAGCACCACCAACAATCAGCGATAGAATTAATAATAATTGCAGTTTTATACCTATTATTTTATTCATTTCATTCATTTCATTCTTTCATTCATTTCATTCATTTCATTCATTTCATTCATTTTTTGTATACTGACTAATAAATACATACTTAGAGAATCTATGGAATCGTGCATAAGTTTGCGTGGTTTTTCAGTTATCTAATGTTTACATTTTTTTTTTAATAAACTTACAGAATTTAATTTTTCAATATCTTCAGATAGGCTGATATACAATTTTAGAGCAAGGTATGGCATCTCGATGCTATAGTCTTCTGAAGAACTGGCAATTTATATTTTTTAAGTTTGTTCCTTGTATTGTGTTCATGCTTGATTTTTTTTAAGGGTGTGTTTATTTTTATGTTCACGTATTAACAGATTGTAGCAGAATATTTGACGCGGATCGAGAACTTTTACCAAATCATATAATCCTTGTGTTGGGAAGAGCACTGTTTTCTTGTAAATTACTTTTAAGATCAATTTTTGTTTTTTTTTTGTCTAATTGATCCATTAGATAAAGAGATGCACCTCCCCAGGCTGTTATACCATATCTAATATGGATTTCAGCAACGGCAGTTTCAATTGTGCCTCCTTTCAGATCGAAGACAAAAACGAGAATCTGGCTAAAAGTACCCTAATCTTTTTCACAACATATGTGATCTGATCCCACTTTAGGTAACTATCTAGATATATACCTAGATACGTTATATATTGTTTGGATTTTATTTGGACAGTTTAGTGATTTATAGTAAATCCTAATGTATTATAAGTAGTAATGTTTCTGGCATATGATGTAAAGGCTAAGAAAAATGTTTCTTCACAAATTACAGTCATACTATCAAACCAACTCAATACAATTTTCAGTGATTAACTTAAGTTCTGTCCAGTTTACAGCGCTATAAATAACTGGGGTTTCATCAGCAAAACTCACAACCCAATATGATATGTGTTAATGTTGATGTTATTAAATTAATATTGGGTTTTAAGTATTACATTTATAAGTAGAGAGAAAAGAGAGAAAAAATAGAAACCGGGTGGTAACTTCTAACACCAACAGAGGGAAAAGCCAAGTCATTCATAAATTGTTTGTCTATGTTCTCCATAGAGCGAAATGGAGCAGAAAAATTTCTAAGTTTATATTAAAAAAAAAAATAGAATAATGCATAATATTCCAAGTCGATCTCGCAATTCACACAAACAATTATTTTTGAACCACAAGTTACCATATTCATACGAGTATAGATTTTCTTGAAACGTGCATTAATAGCATGCGGGGACGACAAGTTATAATAAATATGTAAACATGGCATCATAAGCATACAATTTATGTCACACCACAGAAGAGCAAGCGAAAATTGAAAACAGAGGCGGCCCAAGCACATATATTTATTATAATTTAGAAATGTTTTAATGTGCTTGTCTTTTTCTACGATAAATTAAAATTGTTGATAAAGTCGATACGCAAGTTTGTTGCAAATACATATTTTAAAACAAATTAATTATTCGACATAACTTTCAAAGCAAAGCTATAAAATATAAAATAGGTAACTGCATGATAATTATGGGTTTTAAAAATATTTTTAGTATTTCAGTACAGGACTCAGATTTTTTTTTGACAATATATTAGACCCAAAAACATAACATACGTAATATAAAAATATTGCTTAATTATTTTATTAAATAATTATTAGATTTGAAATAAAAAGCTTATAATTTATACATGCGATTTGAGATACTTCAGTTTAAACGCAGCTTGAAGTTCTAAAATAATTATCATTAATTGTTCGACGGTTTATATTTACAGCAAGAACCACAATCACAATTAATCTAAAACGGAAATTTTATTAGTCAAAGACCATCTAAATGTTCCTAAAAAAACTTGCTTTTTAAAGACGGTTCTGTGTCCAAACCCAGTATAAATTCGAAAACCATAAATAAACGGAATCAGTATCTACCTTATTTGGTAACGAATTTGAAATAAACTTCAATATGAAATTTATTTTACTTTTAGCCAGCATTTTGACTATTGTTAATGATGTGTGGTGTGCGGTTGCAATCATTCCAGCGGATACCTCCAAGAGTAAGCTAAAATCTTAGAATTAATTAATTAATATTATTTACCTTTAGGTAGTGATTACTATTAATTATTATTAAAATCTTTATTAAAACGCTTTGTCGTTTCGGCTAATGTTGGATAGATTATTACTTAAATGATTGCTTCTTTGGTAAGTTTGTTGTGTGTTATGGTATATTTGAATCATTTGCATCATTAGTCTATTTGAAAACACACTGAATTAATATACTGGGTAGACTAGGACATTCTCAATCATATCTATTCTTAACATACATTTTATTGGGACTACTACCTTTAACCTAATATGTTTGTCTACGTATTTTAAAAATTATCGTAAAACATTCATAAAATTCATAAACCTATCTTAAAATTCAAAACTACTTGGAACATTACGTAAATATTTCCTTACTGATGACATCCTTCATTTTGAAATGCAACTAACATCTAATACGTACGTACACATGCAAAATTTTGGAATATAAACTTTTAGCAAACGCGTGTGTATGGTTACTTAGCCTTTTCGATGTCAGTATCGCGGCGATTTCCATCTTATTCCTATTTTAGGTGACGGTGTGTCATGCAGCAGTTTTTTTCTCGTATTCCCCACTGAATAAGGAAAATTTAATAACAAGCGTAATTGTAATGACGATCATGTTCTCAATTTGGCGTGACTTAACTCACTCGGCTCGGCTAGCTGCGATGTATTTTAGGATAAATAATTACCATTTATCCTCGATTTTTGAACCGGATTTCTTTTTAACTATAACCGACGGAAAATTGTGAAACACCTCAATACTGTACGATAGTATAGTCGCTCCACAATTATAAGAAAATATTGGCAGATTATATTTTATGTAGATTAAAATAGATGGGACAGATCTTTATTTAAAATTTCATCTATTACGGAGATAATACGACCCCAAAGGAGTATTACAGATATTCTGTCTGTCAAAATATGTCGTATCGGTTTTTGGCGGCAATTATGGAAATAACTTGCCGAAGGCAATAAAACACATGACCAGTCGGTATTGTAAGATAGAGCATTATGGACGAACTCTTCTGGTGTTTTAAAAGATAGAAATAGATATACTAGCAAGAAGCTTTTTTATAACGCACGGTAATACCGGTTATTCAAGACCGCCACTTATATAAGTTTACCATTTTTTATGAATAACTATCTGATCTAATTTTTGTAAACACGTTATTCCATAATTAACATTTTTCGGAAGTACAATATATGTATTATAATTCATTCGAATTCGGCTAAGTCGTTTTGATTGATTGATAACACATATCGAATGATCGCTAATTAAACGAGAAAATGAATTCGGATCATGATATATTAAACAAAACCCCTTGCGAGCGATGCAAACAAAATAGCTATTACTTCGAATTTCAAAATAAAGATATAATTTCTATAGGTCCCTTAGCTTAGCTAAAAGCATTTTTTTTTCGTAGAATGAAGTTAGGTACATTGTTATTTTTTAACACCTTAGAAAAACCCTTTGGAAGGCTCATTAGAGCAACTTTTCTTGAAAAAAACAATCACATTAAAATTTTCTTAAAAGTTTTTAATATTATTTTTTTGTGATTCTTCAAACTTTAAATTATAGACACCGATCTAGCGTGCGAAAATTGTTATTTTACCACGTCAGTTTCGTTTCCCACGGATCCAAGTCACTTCGGGCATTTCCGGGATATTACCGCACGGGTTTGGGAGCAATCGAATGTTTTCGGAGTTATTACCGCACGGCTTGAATTTTAACGATCATGTATTCGTACTGTTTTGCAAAAATGCATCCGAAAACTAACGGTAGTAGAAAAAGTATTAAGTTACAATAAGTTGTAATATACTATTAAGTAGTTTTCTTCTGTTTGTTACATTTAGTTAGTTAAGTTAGAAACCAAAATATATCGGCACAGTTGTAGATAACAAATTTGCAGTCTCAATCTGGTATCCTGGAGCATTGCCAGCATCCCATGTTTCTTTAATCTTCTTTAAGTGACTAATAAAATATGATGATGACATTGTTGCATAGCGGCACTATGTTTTGTAGGAAAAGAAAGAAGAGAAAGAAGAAAACTCGAATTTCGAAAATATTCGAGATATAAAATAACAGAAATTTGGATAATTGGCTCTCCAAATCCAATTTTAGTCCAATTTCACAAGTTTGATTGAAATCGTCCTTCAAGGTCTCATAATCAAATGTAAGTTTTCAATTCAAATTTAAACACACTGCAGATACTCGAATATTTTCCTATCTGCATGATCGCGGCCTTTGCTAAAAATATTGAATCTAATAATTTAATTTGATAATGTGCATTTCTTATGACCACCTTACGGATTTTCCTTCTTATTTACATGTCACATTTTCTTTAGGAAAATCGCTTTTGGGCATAAGGCGGGGGCGACATCGACTCGTTTATTTTAATCACTGCACGAGAACATCCAATATAATTATTGTTATGTTAACCGACTACGAATTTCTTAGAACAAGTTTCATGCAATATAAATACCAGCGAAACCAGTAAAACTATACAATTAATAGTTACAAAACGACTAAAAGAGTTTTATTATAATGAAGTGTTTTCTATTGTTAAGTGTCGTCTTCGCTTTTACAGCTCTGGTGCAGTGCGGTATCGGTTGGATTCAGCCAAATAATGAAATTGGTATAAAAATATTATTTAGAACAACCATTTTATGTTGTAGTTGTTTAATTGATGTGTAAAAATATTGGTACTATTATATATAAAAAAAAGATTCTGGTTTGTAAATAATTAATGAATTTCACTATTTTCAATTGGCATTAAGAAAATTTCATCTTCCGTTGCTTTTCAAAAACTAAACATTAAAATAAAATAAATCCGTCGCTTATGTTGTTATCAATATAAAAGCAAAGTTTGTATCGTAGATTCAAATAGCGTTGTAATTTTATTCATATTGTTTTAAATTTTATCTAATACAACTTGTTGGTTTAGGTAAGTAATATTCAATGATAATCAAAATAAAAAACATAATATTTAAACTTTTGTGATATTTAGAATACACAAAAATTAAGATATTGTGTGGAAGAACCCGTCAGATCCGTGAGATCTCAAAACAAGAATCCACGAATACCTATAAAATTCAATTAAATATATTCTACAAAAATTTTTTTTTTCTAATCAATATCTATCAAGAAAATAGTTTCCTTTAAAACAATTATTTAAAATTAACTATGACTATTCTCCTATTCTTATATAAATTATCCTACGTCAAAAGAAATGGTTGTATAAAAAGTTGCATCTTCTCTCATTTAAATTTTTATGCATGCATTGCGTAAATTAAAAAATTGTTCGTATGTCGAAAATACAATTATTGTCTGTTTCAAATCACATTTAACAATTTGGAATCAATTACAGATCATTCCGGATATTGTTACTCCGCGTACACTGGACCAATCGAGGCGGCAGGGGAAATCAAGAATATAGAAGGGAAATGCGTACAAGCGATCTGTAACGACGATAGAAGCATTCGCCTTGAGTCGTAAGTTATAACGACAACATTAAATTTTAAATGAACAACAAGATAAAACAAACAATTTTCGTCTTCAAATATACATTCTTCTACTCCCTATTCTAAAATACCCAATTATGCACAGATCAAACGTGCTTTAAGAAAGCTTCTTTACGCATTAGCGCAAGTACTGCGTAGTGTGCCCAACACGCCGTAAAATTTCTTCGTTCGTTTATTATTTATTATTTTATGAGAAAAATTGTGGTATTTTGTGGTATATTCATTGACATTGTAGTATATTCATTCACACTCAAATCGACAATAGTACAATAACGTTTTTAATATGGATAACATAGAATATTCAATTTGTTCATTTAAAGATTTAGCGTGTAGCAAACACTTCGTGTTTCAGATGTGGCGCCGTCAGTGGTCCTTGTGGCAAAACGGATGTGGACTACTCCAAACCTTACCCACAATGTTGCCCCAAACCAAAGGGCTGTTAGTAAATGTGGCTCATTGAATAAAAACTACACCAATTTATTTTTTCGCTTATTTCACTCCCAATAATAAATAAATAATCCAATTTACGATATTTAAAATATTTTTTTGGTTCCTTTTAATCTAGTGGAAAATAATTATTATTGTGGGTTTTTTGTTAGTAATCAAAGTTCCTTGAAATTACAAAAACGCCCGAGCCAAATTTTATTTGCACGCACTCGATCCCTAGTCTATTTTAAAATTGATTTTTTTCTGAATGTTTATTTATTTAGGGGAAGATAACCTAGTTTACTGAATCCTGTATACTTTAAAGGTGCCCGCCCTCTCAGTTAAATCGCAACATTGGAAAACAGTTTCTAGAAAATAAACATGTAAAAATAATATTCTCAAACCCCACTCAGTTTGTTGGAGACCTATAACCTAATGATTTACCACAAACTGAGTTAATATATAATAGAGATAGACTAAAAATCTAAATACTAAAGACGTTCAGTGCTCTGAGGGACCAATCATCTAAAATAGGGAAGAAGAAATGAATCCATGATGGATGGGAAAAGACCTCGCTTAAAGCCGAATATTTGAATAGGCACTGTTGTAATCTGATTGGTACAATTTTTATGAGAAATATTTATTCTACATTTGGCTGATCTGTTTTATGATCCGGTAGATACTGATCTCCTGTTTTGCTATTGAAATGCCAATTGGAATTCAAGAGCAATGCTATATATCTAAGGTTTTTTTTTACAAAGAAACTTCCACAGGCTGCTGTAATACTCTTTTCAAAAATTCTGGTTTCCTCCTGCATCGATTTGCGAGTCAGTTTCAGTCAAGCTTTGAAGAAGCCAACAGGATGATTGGCGAAACGTCAGCAACTTCGACTCAGCAAAAACCGACGCAGGAGGAATCCAGAAGCTTTGTAAAAAGTATATCTAAGGTTGACGAAATCCATCTTATTCTGTTCCCTTTATTTACCTGTACCCTGTACCTGATACTGTGTGAGAGAAACGGAGTTAATGAAGGGACGTGAAAAAACTGATTCCCATATTGGCGAAAGGCAAAGACCTGAGCGGCGGTTAAGATTATTTAGTTGTTTAGAGATTTCTATGGATTATATATGGAATAAGTTTAATTTTTAATTTTACTCATGAGATCGAACATAAAGCTTTATTCGACCAAACTAAAATTCTTGCATGTAATCGATTCTTTCACAAAATATTATAATAACCTGTAGAAGTCTCCTAGAAAAATCGTACTGAACAGATTTGTGATCGGACACAAGATGATGTTATGATAGTTGATTAACTGAATATGTTCCAATTTACAGGCTCGCACTATATGTATAGAGTGGGCCCCTTGGGCCACTTGGGACACTACCCTAATCTCAGTAACTAGAGGGGATGGACCTATAAGTTAAATACAATAGTTAATTGAGGTATTACAAACCATCAATTTATTTTAATGTTGTATATATAAGGTGTTTTATTTCTCATTATTTTAAATAGAACACTTGGTATATTACTTCATTTTTGAATTCTCTACAAAATTCTAGACATATTTTATACCTAAGTCTAACCATGTTTCAAATTTTTAATTTTTTATGCGAAAAATAACGTTCAAAACCTTTTTTTTATGGAAACTGCCTATTTTTATAATCATTTTTTATGTCATTTTAGCATTAAACATTAAGGCAATTTTATATAAGGTTGTATATGCCTAATATTTTTACTTTTTGAAATATTTCCTTTTACACATCTGTCAATCACAAATAATTTGGTGTTGAAATATAAGTTCAGTTGGTGTAAGAAGGCTACGACGGCGTTTAAACAAAACAAGTGCTAGGACGCTGCCTCCTTGGACGTGTGTTTTGTTTTTTGATTACTCTCATTCAAATATTTTTTGACACATTACTGATTTATTTATTTATCGTTTACAAATTTAATTTTTTTGCTTGCTTACGTATCATGTTTACAACAGAGGAAAAAATTGATATGTTAAAAAGTTAGATATCTTACAATATAAACCGGATCCTGCTTCTTATAGATTAGATAACAAAAAAAGATCTTCGACAGGATTTGTCAACAACAGAATATATGGAACCTTGAAGAAAGAAAATAATAGACGTCATCATATTTTCAATGATCGATCTAGATGTCAACAACAACGCGTCGAACGAGCCTTCAAATACACCACTGGAAGTCCTATAAACTCTGTAAAGTGCAAAAAGTAGAACAACGGTATTGCAACATTAAATTAGATTTTTGCAACATCTTATGGAGACACACTTTTCAGAAAATATATTTACTAATATTATTTGAAAAGATAAGTCCATATTTACAACGTCAACTAAAATTTTTATAGGAAAAATACCTGGAGGACCAAGAATAATAAAAAAAATATGGAAGTTTCAAAATCAGTTAGAGATCCTGTCAAAGTATGGGGCGCCATTTGAAGGTCAGAATAATAAGTCCAGTATTTTTTACTCAGAATTTAAATTCAAAACGCTACTTAGAGTTTTTCTATATTATCAATGCTTTTGTTGAAATTAAAGTGCCTGAAACGGCACGACGAAACTTAATTTGGCAGCAGGATGGCGCTCCTTATCACACAAATCAAGAAATTAGCAACTACTTAAATGCACCCTATTGGGGAGAACGGTAGTTACGCCTGGTCTCCAAGGAGCTTCGAATTAAATCCCCTAGATTTTTTATCGACTACACTTAAAAATTTGGCTTACAAACAGAAACAACCAACTGCCGAACAACTTAAACGTCGGAGAAGAGAAGGTATTAAATGATACTGAATCTGTTAGAAATGCCATTATGTATTTAAAAACCCTTAACATTGCTTGTATTGTTCAAAGTGGAGGACATATTGACCAACTGTTACAATAATTATTATCCTTTGATCGTTCCTTAATAAAATATTCATCATTGTTATCGTGTATCCTTGGTCTTATTCTGTATAAATAATGCATACATACATTTACATAATCTTTGGATTTTAGTAACCACATCGCCAAGGTTATGGTCAACTATGAAATGGTAAATCATAGTGGCATCATAGCACCTTACACTAACTGAACTTATATTTCAACAGCAAATTATTTGTGATATACAGATATCTAAAAGGAAACATTTAAAAAAGTAAAAATATTAGGCATATACTACCTTCTATAAAATTGCCTTAAATTTTAATGATAAATATGACAAAATTATAAAAATAGGTAAGTTTTTTAGCAGTTTCATTAATTTCATTTTTAATCTTATTTTTCGCGCACCCTGTATTAATATGTATCGAAATTTCTTATGAAATTTCAGTCATTCCAGTCAAAATTGGCAGATATTTTAGGTCTTGCAAGCGTAATTTTTCGCATAAAAAAATAAAAATATCAAATACGGTTAGACTTAGGTATAGGACATTATACACAAAACATATCTAGAATTTTATACAGAAATCAAAAATGAAGTAATATGCCAGGTGGTCTATTTAAAATAAGAAAGTTGATATTCGCCATCAAGAAATTAAACACCCTGCATATACAAAATGAAAATAAATTAAAGGCTTGTAATACATCAATTTACTTTTGTATTTAACTTTTGGCTCCATCCCGTATAGTTTCCGAGACAAGATAAACGGCGCACCCTATACATACATACAAATTTTCCCGAATTCGACGAAAACGACTGACCTATAGACAACGACATTTGACTATTAGACCGGAATGTTTAAATGGAACAAAGGAAGAATACCGAACAAATTCGAGTATTCAATAATATACGCTATGATTTAAACCACGAAAATTTTTCTCAAAAATTTACCCGCCGCGTGTTTATCTGACGCAAGAAGTGGAGATATAAGCCTACCAAACAAATTTAAAAGTTCGAACAGAAAATATTTGCGCCAGATTAATTAAAACTTCCTTAATTAAAAAAAAAAATAATGAAAATTCTTCAGCTTTGCCAATTTGCTCTTTCTCCGCATCTAAAAGAATTACAGTTTTCCCCTGTACAATATTTCATACTTCTGCATTTTTTTTACAAACTTGAGTGGGTTTATCCTTATCCTTAGGCATTGGCTAATTATTTCAGACACCAGGCTAAAATGAAAAACTTTTCCAATTACTTAAGATATTAAATTATTAGTAGGACCCACCAACGCTGGCTTTATAAAGGCTGGTCGCGTCAAACCGGAAAATTGAGCAAATACTATAGAATAGTTAAGGAGACCAGCAAAAAAAAAAGCTGATTAGCAGTTGGTGGCATGACCCTTTCTATAAACATTCAAACGTAAACCAAAGTTCATAGTTGGCAATATAACAAGCACTAATTAGTAGTTTAAATTTATTTTTATTTTTTATTTTCAACACATTCCTTTTTGGTACAAATCCTTACAAAGGAAAATTGTGAAACAAAAGCAAGAAACCGTATCTAGTCAAACTATAGAAAAGCAAACAAAGCATCATATTATATAGGGTGTCCCGAAATTAGACGTCAATATTTTAACTACGTATTCTGTGGTCCAAAATAAGGATAAAAATGAAACTAGGGTCCAAAACGTCTTAATTTTTAACATACAGAGTGTTAAATTTGAAAAGGCGATTTTTTGTAAATATTTTCCAAACACGCAAATATTTTTAAATAAAATTTGGTACAGTTACTAAACATTTTAGGCTCTATTTAACGAACTCAAACTTAGTGTTGGATTGTCTTCAGGGGTGGGAAACACAGGGTACGCGTGAGAAAAATTTGGCCCAAATTTTTTGTTTATCGAATTTTCGTAAATTAGACTACAGAATTTGAAAATCTGAAGTTTTTTACGTAAATAAGGTACCCTTGTCTCACCTTTTGAAAATTTAATTAAATTTTTTTTACTTGAGATTTCCAAATTCTGCAGTCCAAATATATGAAATTTCCTATTAAAAAAAATGTCCCTGTATACATACTTTTATATATATATATATATATATATATATATATATATATATATATATATATATATATATATATATATATATATATATATATATATATATATATATATAT